TTTATTCCATTTAATATACTTCTCATCTCAGAGCATGAGTGGTCCATTTCAGACCGGTTCCCTTTTATAATTTCCATTTCCATTTTTATCCCTTTGTTGGAGCTCTCTACATTTCCCACAAGTTCTTTGACTATCTTTATAACTAGTCTTTTGAACTCTGCGTCTGTTAGATTACTTGACTTCATTATATCTGGATGTCTGCTCAGTTCTGTCATTTGATTTCTGCTCCTTTTTCTTCCCATTTTTGCTGCCTTTCCATGTATGTTTCTCGATACTAAGCAAAGCTCCCAAGTCTCCCGGTCTTATGAGTGTGGATTTGTGAAATAGATGTCCAGTGGCACAGTCCTCAGAGGGGTTCAGCTACAGGCCAAATTTAGCCCAAGCCTCTACCCCTCCAGGGTCACCTGTTAAGATTCAGCAAGCAATTCACAGATGCTGTGCTTATAGTTGCCTCAAAAGGCCACGCCAGAAACCGAGTCCAGCTGCCTCCACCAATGTGAGTCTCAGCAAGGAGCACCTGACTCGCTGAGGATACACCTGGATGTGGCTTGGGTGGAGCCACGAGTTGGGGAAGGCGGGGTTTCAGGGGATCCTCTGGGTGGAGCGACTTCTGTTATCCAGTTTGATGACGTCAAGGCTATGGCGGCGCTGGTCCCGCGCACTGGTAGTCGGGTAGGGCTCAACAGGGAACAATGGATACCGCCGGCACTTCTGTACCCAGAAAATCTCACCTTGGCTCTCACTCCGACAATATCTCCCTGTAAGTCCCTGGTGCTCCTGGGTGCAGCGGAATCGGCACTGGTGCTCAGAGCAAGCAGGTCCCTCACCGCGAAAATCCGCTCACGGTTGCGGCCCCTTTAAGAGGCGTCTGCCGCTGCCGCAGCCTCCATCTCACTCTGCTGCTGGAAGCCGGGCAGCCCCATGTCCTTGCCCTGTCCTACCGTCTGCTGTTGCAGCATATTTTCTTGGATTTCTCCGTAGTTGTATGGCTTGTTCCTCTAGATTCCAGGCGATTTTTCCTTGCTGCTGCTCCTTGTTTCCGTCACAACTTTGATTTGGTCGCCAGAGAGATGAACAGAGCCTCTGTCATCTACGCCATTTTTTTCCCCTGTACTCATTTTGTAGGTATAACATTGACTTGCAAGTTGAAAATATTTTTCATTAATTTAGTAAATATTTTTTAAGGACCTTCTATACTCCTAGGTTCTGTCTTAAACCAACCTGGCTCAAGAATTTAAACTCAGACCCAGAGCCGAGTCTCTTCTTTTCTTCATGCCATGTATTCAGAGGTAGGGACCACAACTCTGGAGTTAAAGAGCTTGGTCAAGAGAATGAAGATTTATTTGGATTTAGTAACTAGGAAGGGGTCATTAGTGACCTTAGAAATAATTTTTTAAAAATATGTTTTGGAGAAGAAATGGTTATTGCAGGGGGCTCAGGAAACACAGAATAATAAGGAAATTGAAGTATCAGGTATAGGTGATTCTTGGTATTTTGGTAGTAAGTAGAAGGAGGCTTGAAAATATACCAGAAACTAGGGGATAGAACTTCAAAATAAGGGATGTGTGAGGGTTATAAGAGAGCAAGGAGTTGAAGATCAAGTGATTAAATATCATGAAAAGAGGAGATAATTGAAACCATAATGTCTCAGAGGAACCATAGAAGATAGTTATTAGGACATAAGTAAAATGGGATTGGACTTAGAAGAGTAGAGCTAAAACTCTTCATTTGATACAAGAGGAAGAGATGAGAATAAATGAAAATAAAACTGTTTTAAGGTGGAGAAATGGAATGATTATGGTCACTCTGGAAAGATAGCCTTTAATCTTCTCATACAGTTAGAGAGTTAGATCATTTGCTAAATGGAATAAGGTGAGAGGGAGATGGAAGCATACTTGGAAATCAGTTAGCTGTAGCAGTGACAATCCAATTGAAGGTAAGGTGGATTTTATAGTGGTCAATAATATCCTAATGTTCTATAGCAGGAGCTGGCAAACTACATCCCAAGCGCCACATCTAGCCCATGTAGCCTGTGAGCTAAGAATGGTTTTTATATTCATAAAGAGTTTAAAAAGACAAGCAAACAATATGTGACAGAGACCATATGTGGCTTTTGAAGCCTGAAATATTTACTGTCTGGCCTCTTACATAAAGAGATTGCTGATCCTTGTTCTATATAGCTCAGGAGCAGAGAAAACAAATGCAAGTGTGATTTAGAGGTGAGAGCTGACATGCTGGATATGATCAAAGATCAAGGGGTGATAAAATAAGACTCATTAGAGGGGTGTTGGTGAAGGTGGACCAGTTGGGTGCAGGTTGATAGTAAAGTAAAGCCAGAAGAAAGCTAATAGATTGAATTGAAATGGAGAGGGCTTGTAGCTAGATTTCATAATGAGAATAAAAAGCATGGTCATTTGATATAAAGCAAGGATGACAGGTAAAGAAGTCAGAGGTAGAGAAAGGGGGCATGGTTGGTTATCCTGGAGATAGAAGAGTTCCAGAAATTGTGCTAAGTATAACCATTTTAATGAGGAGCTGAAATCAATGATGAGGTCAGTCAGGATGATGAAGTATCAGAAGTACAGTGGTCAAATTCCTAAAGATGATGACAGGGAGACTGTGTAAGAAGAAATAATGTGAATGAGGTTACTGGAGTTATTGAAGAAAGTGGAAGTGAGCAAAGAGAATGAGAGATGATGGCGAAGAGGTAAGAAGAGACTGGTGTGTAAGGAGGGAATTAGTGTCAATAAGAGGGGAAAGTGATGATGGTGGTTCTGCATTTGCCCTGGCAGCTGAAAGAAGGCTGTTCCCTCCTCTTGGCATGGTAGGTGATAGCAGGTAGATAAAAAGGCTGCAGGGATGATGTATTCTCTGTCGAAGGTCAGATTTACACAGTCTTGAGAGGAGTATGAGAGGAGCAAAGCAGTAGTTTGGTTTCCAGTTGTAAAATTAAGTCCTCAAAATAAAAGTAGTTGATTTTTGCATAGATGTATAAGTGTATTAGTTATACAGCTCTTCCTGTAAAGAATATTTATTTGACATTAGTACTAAAATGTATTTTTTGTAATTAAATTTTAAGGGATTAATACTAAAAATATCTCTGTTTAACTATGAACATAAACTAAAGTAACCTGGCAGATAACCGTCATTTGAAATATTCGAAGTGTCTGGATCGGACTACCAAGTAACTAGTAGATACCAGTCACTTGGGCGTGATATTGGTCCTCTCATGATAACATTAATGTAGAGTCCATATCGTAGTATATGAAGCTTTGTTATTAGACATACATATAAGAACATAGTGTGCCTTAGCCATTAAAAATCAAGTGCAGGAGATTACCCTGGCCTCTGAAAATTGAAGCAGGAGCTGTTGGTTCATGCTTTATGTTTTTCTAAATTGATGAGCAAAATGATTCCTGTATATGACTTAATTGGATAGTATTTTCTGAAAGAAAAACTTTTCTGTTCTAAGGACTAAAAATATGAGAAGCAGACAAAAGGTAAATTGCTAGAAATTTTCACTGAGCTGAGTTTGAAGTTACTGGCTCCTCTTATAAAAGCCTCTTTATTTTTTTTTCTAGAGAATTAGATTATTTCCTGATAATCAGAAATCTTAAATAACCTAAAACTTCATTTTAAATGATAGTTTTATTTTAAGTGGTTTTTAGTGAATAACTTTTGGAATGTTTTTAAAGAATGAGTTAAATGTATTTTGAGATACATTTTTAATAATTAATATAACACCTTAATTATGTCATTTACTTCAATTTTATTTTTGTATTTTGTTTTTTTCCTTCAGTTTCCGTTACAAAGAATACAGCAAAAACACAGTCTTCCTCTTCCAAAGCAAGCCAGGAGTCAATGCAGACATCACAGAAAACTGCTGTAGTATTACCAACAAAGAAATCAGGTCGTGCTAAACCACCCAAGAAGGGAGCTTCAGCTAAAACTCCCGCATCAAGGAAGAAAGGCCCAACTGCAGGAAGAAAGGTTAGTTCATCTCCTACTAATTTGTATTATAAGTATCTGTGATGCCTTATAACATAAAGTTTAAGATTTGCTAAGAGTATGATGAGCCCTTTTCAGAATGTAACGAGTATATAAGGCTCTTTAAGGCCTACATAGCTATTGAGGTCGGTATTCTTTTCTTGGGTAAACTTAAAACTTTTGTATAGTTTTCGACCTCTTCAGAACTACATTGAAAGTACTGCATGGGTATATTTATGTTCAGGCCAGTTTATTTTAAACTTTAAATAGTATACTTTAGAAATGAGTTTTACTGTACATAAATTATATCTCAAACTGGGGGGAGGCAAGTGAATCAATGTGATAAATTCAGTGATGCTAGAATCACATCCTTCTTAACTGACTCCCTCAAAGAAAACAATTCTAAAACCTGGAAATAATAGAAAAAGCAACTACCTGAAGATACTGGAGAGTGAATGGAAGCAGACAGGCTCTGGTGGTGGGGAGTACACACAGGAGGAGGGGTGTTAAACAAAGTCCTTTCTCTAGCAAAAATAACCTTCAAGAGTGAAGATAAACTAAAGAAATTTTTCAGATAAAAGCAGACTAAGAGAATTCATCTGTAGCAGATAAGTACTATAAGAAATGCTGAAGGAAGTTTATCTCTAGGTAAATGCAAGTGATTTTCTTTTTGACTTTTTTCTTTCTTAATTTCTTATGATAATGTGACTGTTTAAAACAATAAGTATAATATAGTCTTGTGGGGTTTATAACATACACAGATATACATAAAGCAATTTTAGTATAAAGTCTTGGATTGGGGGACATGGATTTGTATCACTGCAAGATTTCAGCATTTTACATGAAGTAGTACAGTAATTAATTAACTTTATGCGGATTGTACATTGTAATCCCCAGGGCATATTGTAAAAACACAAATGCAAAGGAATATAGCTAAAAAACCAATGGGAAAATTAAAATGGAATTCTAAGGCATATTTGAGTAATCGGGGAATGAAAAGACGGGAAAGGAGGAACAGAGGAACAAAACAGAGGAGGCAAATAGAAAACAGCAGACCCAGACTCAAACATATTAATAATTACTTTAAAAGTTAGTAGACTAAACTCTCCAATTAAAAGCTTATCCAGATGAATTTTTAAAAAGAGCAAAATATATCCTGTCTACAAGAGGTACACTCGAAATAAAAAGACATAGAGTCTTATTGGATCTATTAAAACTGAATTAAATTTCAGTAGTATTACCTTGAACATTTTTGAGTTCAGCCATTTGATAACAATAGAAATGCATTTCTGTTTTATTTCAGCTGTTAGCAGTATAGAATAAAATGACAATACCATTTTTATTTTAAAATACTTCTTATACTGATATTTTAATTTTAAAAACCGTTCAAAATTTATAAACAAAATCAAAAGTCAATAAAACTATATTCTAAATATAAAATCATAAATATTGAAAAAAACAAATAAGCAAATTATTCTAATGTAAATCATTAGCAGGTGAACTTTTTCAAATTAAAAATAAATTACATAAAATTAAGAAAAGTTAAGAAATTTAAAAGGAAATAATATTTAAATGCATTTAAAAAATTAAAATTTATCAAGGATATCATTGATGCATATGTTTAATGCATATTTTTCAGCTGCTGAAAGTCTTTGTGATTAGTTGGTATAATGGTGAAAATAGAAGATAACTCCAAAAAGTTTCTCTTAGCTCCTTTATTTTCAAATAATTCCAGTGTTAATTTGACAGTTTGGAAGAGATCTTTTTGAAAATATTGTTTATATGGTGGTGGGGATGGGCAAGGGACAGATGCTATAATTTTCTGGATACTACACTAGTTTTTGTTTCAAGGGAAGCATTTCAATTCACCTTCATCTTCTCCAGCTTCATTATTTCATCATGAAAAGAAAGATTCTCATGCAGTTACCTGTATCCCTGTTTCAGTATTGCCACATCATAGTTTAGTTAGATAGTCTTTGAACTAGAGTAAGGGTTGTTTTTGCAATAGACTCTTTCCTTTGTCAGCTGTTCCCTTAAAGGATTCTAGAAGTATAGAAACACATTTTCCAAATAGATATACCTTTATTTATCATATTAATGCAAACATACTATTTTGGTATGTCTTAAGTCAGAGGATTCAGATTTTTTAAATAAAGAACAAGAAGTATCAACACAATAATTATAATTTAATACTTAAAAATTAACATGATTTACTAGAATGCTGTGAATACAAATGAGTTATTAATTGAAACGCAGAAAAATCAAACAACATTGAATGTTAACCTCTATTTTTTCCCTCCTTTGTCCCTGCTTTTTAAATATTCTCTATTATTACCTTTTCTAGGCACAAGAGCCCCTTCTCTGACATTGGAGCGCTATGTTTGAAGGTAGCTCCAAGAAAACGCCAAGAGTTGATATAAAATAAACACTAGTGATATTTAACAATGACCAGAAGACATTTGGTTCTCATATACAATAGGCATGATTTTGTATGCAAGCCAGTTGTAATTTTGTCAAAATCATCATACGTTATATGGAGAAATACAGAGTAGATGGCGTAAAAACCAGATGAGTGACTGCTTTCTAAAGACAAACTCCGTCCTCTGCCTTGTTAAGGTCCTTCACCCCCATTTGATGTATTGCTGGATTAGATTTACAGACATTTCTTTAGCAGTGTGAAAAATTTGTCTTATAGGACACCTCAAAAAATAAAACAATTTTTACAGAGTGAACTATTTTATTTTGGCTAAGGTGTATCAGTTGGAGCAGGGGTAGCACTGGGAATCCCAGCTTCTTGATCTCTTCCTCTCCTACTTGACCAGATCATTGCCCACTCTGAGGAGCATAGTTCGGAAAGTATTGCAGTTTGTGATACACATGCACACACGCACACACAGGAATTTCCAACCCTGAGGACTTCTGACAACTGATCATTTGTGAACCATTGCTGCTGATAATCAGACCTTACTGAGGAATTTTTAAAAGGATAATGTATATATTTTTTGTTAATTTGCTTGTTTGTTTGTTTACAGGAAAAATGTATTCCTGTTATGTGTTCCACTTCTACAGCTTCTATAAAGACGCTGATCAGAGGCCGTGGTGCTGGATATAAGGATCCCTTTTCTGGCACATCTAAAATAGTGATGTCTACAGGTAAATTAGTATTTTTAAAAGCATATAAAATTACTAATCTTTTATTCTGTGTTATTTTCAATGTCTTTGATGTCCTGGAAGTAAAATCAAGAGGAAAAAAGATGATCATAAACATTTCTGTTAGTATTTTTCATTTTAAAAGTATTTCGAAATTTTGGTGGTTCATTTTGATTTTTAAGGAAAAACAGTCTGTTTAAATACATGAGTCACTTGAAATTTCAATACTCTTAAAGTTTTTTATCCACCTCAGTAAGATTTCTAGAATTTACATCATCAAATCTATTTTTGTTTTCCCTTTCTCTCATTTCCCAATTTATCTTTTTTGTCTTGTATGTATTTTTAAAGCTACCTCAAACTTTTTTTAAAATTAAGTTTATTGGGATAACATTAGTTAATACAATCATATAATTTTCAGGTGTACATTATCATTTGACATCTATATATTCTATTGTGTATTCACCACCCAAAGTCCAGGTTCCTTCAGCTACCATATATTTGATCCCCTTTACCTACTTCACCCTCCCGCTACCTCCCTATATTTGATCCCCTTTACCCCTGCTACTTCCCACTTCCTCCCTCACCCCACTAGTAACCACTAGTCTATAGTCCATGTCCATGACTCTCTGTTTGTTTGTCCTGCTCATTTGTTGCTTTTAGGTTTATATCTCACACATAAGTTATATCATATGATTTTCAACTTTTTCTGTCTGGCTTATTTTGCTTAGCGTGGTTATCTTAAGATCCATCCATGTTGTCACAAATGGCAGTATTTCATCTGTTCTTATGGCTGAGTAATATTCCATTTTCTTTATAT